GAAATTGCCCACCCATCTCTCATCTAGTCCTAACAAGGTCCACAGGAAATAAATCTCAAATAGTCCCCTTAATGGTGGGCTCAACATGGCTAATGGAATTTCAGCCTTTTGGGGGAAAAATGGCAAGGCTGCTTAAAACCAAACTGTTTCATTTATGAGAGATGAGTCTTTTAACAAGCCTTTAAGAAACCCATAAAAGGGCTTGGAGAATAAAACAAGAAGACTCAAACTAGTGAGAGCTAGTAAACAAGGACCCCCACAACCTAATTGCAATGGAGATATAGCCTCTTTTAGTTCTTAATGTGATCCAAGGATAGGCATTTTGGTTGATTAGTTGATGATAATAACAGTAATAATAATAAACAGGTTAGATCATGTTCTTGCTCATCCTCAACACGTTTTACTCCATCTCATTCCAAAATGGTGATGTGTAGTTTTAGTTTGGCATTCAGGGCCCTACAGAATCTGGCCTCAACCTTCCTCTTGAGTTACAGGCTCCTGACCTATATCACATGCCCACTGCTCACCCTGGCCTTGTCCCTGAACAGCCTTGCCTATTCCCATCCTGGTGTATCAAGCCACTAAGCTTTCAGTCTATAGAATTCAAATTCCTTTCCTGGGGAGAATAAACAGCGCCCCCTACTGCACACCACTGGCACACCTGCCTTCATTCCAGATAAGTCTTTTCCAATCTTTTTCTACCTCCCCAGCAGATCCTCAACCGCCAGAGTGAAGAGCCTGGTGGAGTAAGATTATGTACCCCTGATCAAGCCCAGAGCCTCTGAAATAGTCTTCTGAAAAAACAAATTTAAGTTCAAGTTTTATTAACTCAAAATATGCCATATAGCCAGGCACTGGCAGCTCAGGCCTGTAATCCTAGCTACTCAGGAGGCTGAGACCTGAGGATCATGGTTTGAAGCCAGCCTGGGCAGAAAAGTCTGTAAGACACTTTATCTCCAAAAAACTACTCAGACAAAGCTGGAAGTGGTGCTGTGGCTCAACTGGTAGAGTGCTAGCCATGAGCACAGGAGGCTCAGGGACAGTGCTCAAGCCCTGAGTTCAAGCCCGGGGACTGTCTCTCCCCCCCTCCCCCCCTCCCAAAAGCTATATATTTCACTCAAAAAGTACAAAAACGAGCTGGGAGTGTGGCTTAGTGGTAGAGTGCTTGCCTACCATGCATGAAGCTCTGGGCTTGATTCCTCAGTACTACCTAAACAGAACAAGCCAGAAATGGTACTGTGGTCCAAGTGGTAGAGTGCTAGACTTACGACCTTTGGAGAGCGAGACAATCCATTGAGGCACAGTGAACCGTGGACAAAAGAAGTTTATTTACACTATCTACACCAGAAAGGGGTCCTGCAACTACCTTGTCCTGGGCTAGATACCCAGAACCAAGAGCAGCCTCAACCACCAAACCTCCAAGCCTCCAATGGGCAGCCTGGACCTTTATTAGTTGGTCTGCAAATCACCAATTAGTCAGTCTGTGAACCTCCAAACCTCAGACCTCCAAAGCTCCATAGGGAAGGCTTTTCCCTTTCTTCCCTTCCTCCTTCTCTGTAGGCCTCTCCACTCTCCACAGACCTGCCCTGCTCTGCTCCGGGAGGCGCCTCTCCGCAGGCCTCTCTAGAGGAGGCCCCAAATGACCTCCGGAGAAGGCCCCAAATGGCTTCCTCGAGAAGCCCCAAATGACCTCTCAGATAGATCCCAAATGGTCCCTCGAGGAGGCTCGCCCTGCCCTCCACAGGCCTCCCTGCTCTGCTCCGGCAGGAGCCTGCCGTCTCTCCCTCCACCCCTTCTACTCTCCTCCTTGCTCCCTTCCTCCTTGAGGACTCCAGGTCTTTCCCCTACTCCCCCCTCTACTCTCCTCCCCTCAGGACTCTGGTTTTTCCCTTACTCTCCTCGGGACTGTTTTCCCCCTAATCTCCCCCACCCCCTTCTGGGAGCACACAGCCTATATATACCCCTGATAGGCTCTGCCCCTCCCCCACCAATGGTTTCAAACCTCCATACATGCTCCTCCCCCAAGCTGCCCCCTGTCCAATCCCAATAGGTAGCTCTCCATGTGGGGCTCGACGCCCCACCCCCTCAGCATGCCCCACCCCATTCAGTGGCACAGCACGCCCCTCCGGCAGTGACATCAGCCTCTCAATGCCCTGCTCTGTCCTGTGGGCCAGTGTGTGGAGAGGTGAGGCTCGCCTCCTGATGCCCCGCCCCCTCGATGTCCCGCCCCCCAGCAGGCTGGACCATGGGGTCAGGCTGACTATTGGGCTCCCTGATTATCTGGGCCCATGAGTTATTAAACTAGCCTTCTGCAAAAGAAGCTCAGGGACAGTACTCAGGTCCTGAGTTCAAGCTCCAGGACTGGCAAAAAGAGAGAGAGAGAGCTTAAAACTGAGAGCTGGTAGTTCATACCTGTATTCCTAATTACTCAGAGGCTGAGATATGAGGATTATAGTTCAAAGCCAGTCCCTTTAAGAGAGTCCATCAGACTTTTTTTTTTTTTTCTCTGTTGTGGGTGGTAGCTGTCCCTGAGCTCTTCAGCTCAAGGCAAATGCTCTACCACTTTAAGCCACAGGTCCACTTCCGTTTTTTTGGTGGTTAATTGGAGATAAGAGTCTCACAGACCTTTCTGGGCTGGCTTTGGACAGTGATTCTCAGATCTCAGCCTCCTGAGCAACTAGGATTACAGGCATGCGACACCAGCGCCCAGCTCCGTGAGACTTATATCCAATTAGCCAGCAAAAAGCTGGAAGTGGAGCTGTGTCTCAAGAGGTAGAGTGCTAGCTTTAAGCAAAAAAGCTCAAGAGCAACCCCAGGCCCTGAGTTCAAGTACCAGGACTGGCATAAAAAAAATGAGGGGCTGGGGCTGGGAAGATGGTTCAGTGGTAGAGTGCTTGCCTTGCATGCATGAGGCCCTGGATTTGATGCCTCAAGACCACATAAACAGAACATGCAGGAAGTGGCACTGTGGCTCAAGTGGTAGAGCACTAGCCTTGAGCACAGAGAGGCTCAGCAACAGCACCTAGGCCCTGAGTTCAAGCACCAGGACTGGCAATAAAAATTGATTTGCCAGCCACTAGTGGTTTATGCCTGTAATCCTAAAACTCAGAAGACTGAGATCTGGGGATGTCAGTTTAAAGTCCACCTAGGAAATAAAAATGGAGAGACTTCTAGCTCCAACTAACCAGCCAAAAGTGGAACAGGAGGTATGTCTCAAGTGGTAGAGTGCCAGCAAAGGCAAGCAAGATTGGGAGGCCTTAAGTTGAAGTCCCAGTACCAACACACACACAAGGAACACATATAGTTGTGGAAGAGAGAGAGAGAGAGAGAGCACTAAACCTAAACCTGGGGCTTGAACCCAAGCCTGGGTGCTGTCCCTGAGCTTTTTTGGCTCAATGTTAGCACTCTACCAATTGAGCCACAGCTCCATTTCTGGCTTTTTTTTTTAGTTTATTGAAGATAAGAACCACATGAGGCCCTGGGTTCGATTCCTTAGCACCACATAAGCAGAAAAAGCCGGAAGTGGCGCTGTGGCTCAATGGTAGAGTGCTAGCCTTGAGCTGAAGAGCTGAGGGACAGCACCTAGGCCCAGAGTTCAGGCCCCATGACAAAAAGAAAAAGAAAAAAGAAAAAAAGGAATTTAAAACATAATCTATAGGAAACAACTCAATGAACATGCTTCCCAAAAGGATGTCTTGCTGAGATTTTGGATATCTCTGATTATTTTAAGGTGTCTTACAAATGTCAGAAGGGCTCCTGTCACTTTAATTTAAAAGATCTGGAGCAAGTTACCTGAGCCTCTATTCCCTCATTTGCAGAGCAGTGTTGTGAAGATTAAATGGAGGCCTTTTGGTGGTCCTGGGGTTTGAACTCATGGCCTCAGGGCTCAGGGGCCAGGCAGCTTCTGTATCACTTGAATCAGCTCTGTGCTTTTGTTAGCTTTTAAATAGAGTCTAGCTTATGATTCAGGAGTCCTGGACCACCATTCTTCTAGTTCTGCGTCTCCCATAGCTGGGATGGTGGCTGCCTACAATGTTTGGTCCAGGTTAGTAAAACTTCTTTTTGTAATTGACTTCATTTCTTTATGTGGTACGGGGGAATTGAACCCAGGCCCTCATGCATGGTAGGCAAGCACTCTGTCACTAAGCTACATTTCCAGCCCCAAACTTCTTTTTGTTATAATATCTGATCCGTCAGCAGCAGTCAATAAATTATCTGATAAGCAATACATTGTTCTTTGTGGTGATGGCAGAGTGAGGGGCTACTTTGGTGGTGCAAACTCCCTTCCAGCACTCATCAGCAGATCTCTGTGGTGTGTTTCTTATCATCTGCGAAGAGGATAAAATGACAGGCTAGGGATGTAGCTCATTGGTACAGTGCTTGCCTAAGGATCTGAGTTCCATCTCCAGCATCAAAATAAGCAAAATTGAGATAAATAATAAACAAATACAGGTGTGCGCAGCTAGCTCATGCCAACAATCCTAGCAACTCAGGAGGCTAAGCTCTGAGGATCACAGTTCGAGGCCAGACCGGGCAGGAAAGCCAGAGACACTCCTATGTCCAATTAACCGACAAAAAGGCGGAAGTGGAGCTGTGGCTGACATGGTAGAACGCCAGTCTTGAGTGAAAAAGCTCAGGGACGGTGCCCGGGGCCAGAGCTCCCGCTCTCACAAAAGCCGAGCCCGGGCCCGTCCTGAAGTGGGAATGTGTCACATTCTTTAGTGCTTCACACACGATTCTACTCCCCAATTCTACCCAGCCTCAGACACCGACAACCCGAGAACCAGGGGCGGGGGGGTGACTGCAAGGGCCCGCGGGCCCCCACGACAACGGGGGGGGTCGCGAAGCCCCTCGGGGCACCCCACCCGCGGGGACCCACCTCCCCTAAGGCCGCAGCGACGCGCCCGTCACCCCGGTAACCCCCACCTTCCGCTCATCGGCCTTGACTTCCGGTTCCTGCAACGTCATCACCGGGCGTCCGGCTTGGGGCTTCCGGGAAGGCGGGTCCTGCTGGAGAGAGGCCGCGGGCGAGGGTCGCGGGCCTCTGCGCGGCGTCACGGCCTGCCGTCGCGGCTCGGCGCTGCCATGGAGAGCGGGGGGCGGCCCTCCCTGGGCCAGTTCGTCCTCTTGGGCACCAGCTCTGTCGTCACCGCCGTTCTGTACTCCGTGTACCGGCAGAAGGCCCAGGTCGCCCAACAGCTCAAGGTCAGTGCTGGAGCCCGCCCGGCCACCGCCAACTCCTCTCGGCCCTCGGTGCTGGAGAGCCCGCCGGTCGCCGGGGCCGCCCGGCAGTCGGAGCGCGCTCGGTCCCACAGTCCCACAGGAGGCCCCGAGCGGCGGGATCGCCGGCGGGGCCGGGAGAACGGACTCGCTCTCACGACCCACCGGGACCCCGTGGCCACCTCCTCGAGAGTTCTCCAACCCCTGCTGCGCCGTGGGTACAACCGACACAGATCATCTCCTCATGGAGATTCCATTCCAATACCTCGAGACAAACCACACGTTACTTTGGTGATCACAAAACAGGGAAAACTGGTTCAGCCACTCAGTTTAGCACTTAAACTTCCATCTTAAAAAATTTCATGTATGCGCTGGGAAGGTGGCTCAGTGGTAGAGCGCTTGCCTTGCGTGCCTGAGGCCCTGGGTTCGATTGCTCAGCACCACATAAGCAAAAAGTAAAAAGCCGGAAGTGGTGCTGTGGCTCATCAAGTGGTAGAGTGCTATCCTTGAGCTGAAGAGCTGAGGAACAGCGCCCAGGCCCAGAGTTCAGGCCCCACGACCGGACCCAAAAAACAAACAAACAAACAAAAAACTAATGTAATTTGCGCGTGAGATTTCTCACCCAGTTAGTAAGAAAGGAATGGATTTTAATTGAAATGCCCCAAGTGGTATTTCTCAAAGGATGGCAGACATGGGACTGTGTTAAAGAGAGGACCAAACTCTGGCAGAAAGCTTCAGAATGAATAGATCCATGCCATGCAAATTAAAAATTGAACGTCCTATTAAGTTACATAAGAAGGTGACGCTTGAACAAATACCTAAATGTGAACTGGAGTGGAGCACCTAATTATTTAAACTTACAATCTTTTCCATCCAAAAGTAGAACCAAAAACAAAAGTAGAACCTCCCCCTTTTCTGAGTGACCATATTACTTTTGATTATTGAATTGTCCAGAAAGTTAGAACTCTTTAGGTCTCATTCATTCTTTGGCATTATTTCTAGGTTCTTTCTCAATGTTGGGGTTCATTTTGGCTAACATTTCATAACTCATCAGCCAGAGGCTTAATTTGGCATTTTATAGGAAAGGTGGGTTCCAGCCTAACATTTTTTTAGTTATCTGATTGGTTTCAGAAAGGCCTAGATGAAAAGGTTTTTAGGGGTTTTGGAATCTGGAATAAAGCAATTGGATTTGCTCTGCAGATGGCTTCCTAGTGACATTCTAGCTGCTCTGCTCACCTAATAAATCTAGTTATTCCTGAAGTGATTGGCTAAGTGTAACTGACAACTTTCCTTTCTGACTCCAGAACCAATTTGGCTTCAGGCTGAATGCATGTGAGATTCTTCCCCCTCATCATTTGGTCTTGAACTTAGGGCCTTGTGCTTGCTAGGCAAGTACTGTACCATTTGAGCCTCACTTCCAGCCACTTGTGATTTAGGTTAGTTTTCTGATAATGGGGGTGGGGGAGCCTAGGCAGTGAGTTAGGAAGCCTGCTGGCTGAGAGCCATGGCTTGGATGTTGATAGGAATCACACCCTAAATTGCTGACATGAGCAGAATAGCTTGTGACATACAGCAAGGTCTTGCTCACTCACTGCCCCTGAAGCCCCAAGAAAATAGCCTCAGTCTGACTATCCAAGGCCAGCTCCTGCTCTGCCCTTTGCTGGAGTTGATAACACAGCTCAGTTTTCTAGGACTGACCACCTCCACCTGCAGAGTCCAATACAAACTTGATGTCTTGGGACCCTTTCTTCCCCCTGTGTATTGCTTCTATTGGAAGGTGCACATTAGCTTTGCTTTGCATTAGCAAACTCACCCTAACCCTCATGTCAGTGCAGCAGCAACACTGGCATGTTCTGGTAAATCCTTTCATCAACCATGGGACACTGAAAGCTAAGACATTGTGTTGCATTTTTACCCATGACCACCTTTGGACTCAATCCTACTCATGCCTTCCTCTCCTATTTATACCTCATGCCTCTCTGGTAGCAAGGATTACTAGTGCATGCCACCACAACTAGCCTGTTTGTTAGGAGAGGGTCTCTTTTTGTCTGAGTTGCCTTGAACTACAATGTTCCCCATTTCTGTCTCCTTAGTAGCTGGACTTACAGGCGTGAATCACCTTACCTGGCTTGGATGTGAGAGTCTCTGAAGTAGCAAATTTCCATGTCCTTTCTTTGGATGGTCTTCAAAGCTTTGCCAATTAGTTCCTAAAAGAGAATGGAATAGCTAGTGGCTCACGCCTGTAATATGAACCACTCAAGAGACAGACGGAGGATAATGTTTTGAAAGCCATAGTGGGCAGCAAAGGCCATGAGATTCTTATCTCCAAATAACCAACCCAAAGTGGGAAGTGGAGGTGTGGCTCGAGTGAGTGCCAGCCTTGAGCAAAAAAACTGAGGACAGGGGCTGGGAAGGTGGCTCAGTGGTAGAGCGCTTGCCTTGCATGCATGAGGCCCTGGGTTCGATTCCTCAGCACCACATAAGCAAAAAGAAAAAAGCTGGAAGTGGCGCTGTGGCTCAAGTGGTAGAGCGCTAGCCTTGAGCTGAAGAGCTGAGGGACAGTGCCCAGGCCCAGAGTTCAGGCCCCACGAACGGACCCCCCCCCCCCCAAAAAAAAAACCAAAACAAAAAAAAAACTGAGGACAGTGCCCAGGCTCTGAGTTCAAGCCCCAGTATTGGCACCAAAAAAGAGAGAGAGAGACTTTTGTTTGGCATATAATCATGCACAGCCTTTTTATTTTTTTGTGGTAGGAGTCTACTTTTATTTCCTAATGCCATACTATAAAGATCAAATTCTTAGGTGTGTTTGTGCAGCTCAAAAATAAAAGGTATACTAAGGGAGGGGGGACAGTGGTCTAGGTGCAAGGCACATTTGAAGCAAGTTTTATGTTTGGTTGTATTTTCTTTGTATATTTATTTAAACGTGTTGCAGGGGCTGGGAAGATGGCTCAGTGGTAGAGTGCTTGCCTTGCATGCATGAGGCCCTGGGTTCGATTCCTCAGTACCACATAAGCAAAAAGAAAAAAGCCAGAAGTGGTGCTGTGGCTCAAGTGGTAGAGCGCCAGCCTTGAGCTGAAGAGCTGAGGGACAGCGCCCAGGCCCAGAGTTCAAGCCCCATGACCGGACCCAAAAATAAATAAATAAACAAAATAAACGTGTTGCTGTCTGAAGTAAATTTCCAAATGTATGCTCAACAATAATCATTAAAATGTTTGCAGTGTACAAAAAAAGAAAGAGGGGTGGGGAGAGAGAGAGATTGGGACTACTAATACTTTGGATTCTCTATAGAACTTTCAGAGTAGGTTTGTGTCTCAGTGTGGCAGCATGCATGGTGGTGGCATGCCTCTGTGTGCTAGCCTGCAAAGGTTGCATTCTTTGTCCACATTAGAAGTCCTTTGAGAAGGTCTTTGCCGGCTGGGAAGGTGGCTCAGTGGTAAAGTGCTTGCCTTGCATGCATGAGGCCCTGGTTCGATTCCTCAGCATCACATAAGCAAAAAGAAAAAAGCCGGAAGTGGTGCTGTGGCTCAAGTGGTAGAGCGCTAGCCTTGAGCTGAAGAGCTGAGGGACAGCGCCCAGGCCCAGAGTTCAGGCCCCATGACCGGACCCAAAAAAAAAAAAAGAGAGAGAAAGTCTTTGCCCCAAGCTTTACAGTTGAAAAGTGAAACTCAAGTAAATTGCTCAAAGTCACAATGGATATGTTGAATCAATTCAATCCAGTTTTTCTGACCAACTTCCCCACCTTTCTACCCTTTAAAATTCTAACCAACTATCCTTCCTGTGGTAGAGTCTTTACTAGGTGAGGGGCTCAACCTATCACTTCCTTCTCCGAGCTTGTTCCTGTTCTGTAATTGAAGCTAATAATGGCTCCTCAGCATGAAGTAGGTTTATGCATTTATAGTGCTTAGCACAGTGTCTGGACTTGGTACCTCTAAGTGCTTAGTAATTTCTGTCAACGATGTATGGAGTGCTTGGTGATTGTCAGGTGCTGTTCTCAGCTTCAGGGGAGATTCTGTTCTAATACAACCAGGCAGGCTGAAAACATGATCAGCTTGTGTGCCTTGTGAGAAAGGTCTTTGTTTTGTTTTGTTTTTGCTGGTCGTGGGGCCTGAACTCAGGGCTTGGGCTCTGTCCTCAGCTCTTCAGCTCAAGGCTAGCACTCTACCACTTGAGCCACAGCCCCACTTCTGGCTTTTTCTGCTTATGTGGTGCTGAGGAATCGAACCCAGGGCCTCATGCATGCCAGGCAAGCACTCTATCACTGAGCTACCTTCCCAACCCTGGATCTTTTTTTTTTGGCCAATCCTGGAGCTTGAACACAGAGCCTGGGTACTGTCCTTGAGCCTCTCTGTGCTCAAGGCTAGTGCTCTACCACTTGAGCCACAGCGCCACTTCTGGCTTTTTCTGTTTATGTGGTACTGAGGAATTGAACCCAGGGCTTCATGCATGCTAAGCAAGCACTCTACCTCTAAGCCACATTCCCAGCCCAGGGGGTCTTATTTTTTTTTAATTTTAATTTTTATTTTTGCTAGTCTTGGGGCTTGAACTCGAGCTAAGTATTGTCCCTGAGCTTTCCTTTGCTTAAGGCTAGCACTCTATCATGTGAGCCACAGAACCACTTCCAGCTTTTTCTGTGTATGTGGTACTGAGGAATCAAACTCAGGCCTTCATGCATGCTAGGCAAGCACTCTGCCACTAAGCCTCGTTCCCAGCCCCATCGTTCTTTGTTCTTTCTTTGCCCCTATAACGTGTGAGCATTCAATGACAATCTTACTTTTACCTTTTGCATGTAGGGAGCCAAGAAAATCCACTTGGGTGACGATTTGAAGAGTATTCTTTCAGAAGCTCCAGGAAAATGTGTGCCTTACGCTGTCATTGAAGGTAGGTTTGTTTAGTGGGAAATCGAGAACAACTTCCTTCTTTCAAGTTTGGTAGAAATCAGCTTGGCTACATAAGTGCTTTCTATGGTGTAGGGCCTCAGTCCAGAGCGTATTTTGGGGTTAGAAAGGCCTGGGCTATTGCCATGTGGCTTTAGACCAAATCTTTGTAGAGCCCTGATTATTTTAGAGAGAGGTGATGGCTAAAGTAATTCCACCTCCTGGGGGGAGGGGGGAGAATGATATCCATAGGAGGTGCTTAGCAGAGGTTCCCACACATGCCTTATGGTGATGCAAATGTTGCCGTGTTGATTACATCACCTGACAATGATTTCAGTATAATTCTTCAGACATGAAATGATGTGTCTCCACTTAGGGGCTGTGCAGTCTGTTAAAGAAACCCTGAACAGCCAGTTTGTGGAGAACTGCAAGGGGGTCATCCAGCGGCTGACACTTCAGGAGCACAAGATGGTATGGAATCGGACAACCCACCTTTGGTATGTGTCCTTTCTCTACTGGTTATCAGAGAGAGAGCCTTATGCCCTGTGGAGCTCATCAGAGTCTCCCAGGTTGCCGACCAGGATTTTCAGGAAAGGAACCCAGAATCGGTGGCTTCTTAGGCACACTGGAGTATGACAACCACTGCTTTATAGATTCATAATCTCAGAGTCCGTGCATCACACTGAGCCCCTGTTGCCATCCAGTCTCAGCAGCTTTGATTGCACATACTAGTGACAATGGCAAAGGGGAAAGGGCAAATGTGACCCGTGGGTGGGCTTCTTGCCCACTCATCAACCTGGGGACTCCTTTGAGGTCTGGAGTATTGGTTATTGGGACTGCGTTCTCCACATCCAGACGGGGCCTGTCCTCTTGGTGTTTGTCATTAGCTCCCTGCAGTTTCATCTTCAGTCTTCTTCTTTTAGGAACGACTATTCAAAGATCATTCACCAGAGGACCAACACGGTGCCCTTTGATCTGGTGCCCCATGAGGATGATGTAGGTGTGGCTGTGCGGGTGCTGAAGCCCCTGGACTCCGTGGATCTGGGCCTTGAGACTGTGTACGAGAAGTTCCACCCCTCTGTCCAGTCCTTCACGGATGCCATTGGCCACTACATCAGTGGTGAGCGGCCCAAAGGCATCCAGGAGACAGAGGAGATGCTGAAGGTGGGGGCCACACTCACGGGGATTGGAGAGTTGGTCTTGGACAACAACTCTGTCCGCCTGCAGCCCCCCAAGCAGGGCATGCAGTACTACCTGAGCAGCCAGGACTTTGACACCCTGCGCCAGCGGCAGGAGTCGAGCGTCAGGCTCTGGAAGGTGCTGGCTCTGGTGTTTGGCTTTGCCACGTGCGCTACTCTCTTCTTCATCCTGCGGAGGCAGTACCTGCAGCGACAGGAGCGCCTGAGGCTGCAGCAGATGCAGGATGAGTTCCTGGAGCATGAGGCCCAGCTGCTGCGCCAGGCCACGCCTGAGGACAGGGAGAGTCTCAAGAGTGCCTGTGTTGTGTGTCTGAGCAGCTTCAAATCCTGTGTGTTTCTGGAGTGTGGCCATGTGTGTTCCTGTCGAGAGTGCTACCGTGCCTTGCCAGAGCCCAAAAGGTGCCCCATCTGCCGGCGAGAGATCACCCGCGTGATCCCCCTGTACAACAGCTGAGGGGCTCTCGGGCTCCTGCTACACCAGCATAGCCTCCCTGGAAAAGTTTTTCTCGTGAAGCCTTTGGTGGGCATGGCTGTACTTCCAGGTCTGACTGAGCAGAAACTTCCAGTCCCATCCCTCGATCAGCAGGGGAGGGAGGGCCCTATGTCTCCCAGAGCATCTGGGAAAGTCCCGGGGGGTGGGCTGTGGCCTGTGACCTCTCCCCGGAACCATACGATCGTGTGTCACAAAGCACCTGTTTGTCTAAGCTTCGAAGCCAGCCACCTCTAGCTCTTCTGGGCCTTTCTGGAGACGGTGGTTGCAGCCACCCAGTGTGGAGGAAAGGCCAGGCTCTGGGAGGCCTGAAGAGCCGTCTCAGGAGACTCTGCTGCTTTTCTAATGCTTCAGTCTGGGAAAGAGGACTGTGTTCAAAACTGTCAGGCTGGGCAGGTTGCCTGTGTCCCATTCCCACGGCTTGTTTCTGAAACCTGTGCTCGCATGGGTGTGGAGAGGAAGCAGGAAGATCAGCTGGCAGTCATACCAACAAGCAGTGCCTTGAGGGCCCTGCAGAGGACATGCCTGGGCCCTGATGTGGCCCTCTAGTGCAGCATGTGGGAGGGCCCAGGGAGACTCTGGTTTTCCCTGCCTAGGAGAAGCCAGAAGGGCCCCATAGGAAGTTAGCAAAGGATGCTGCTGTCCTGCCCTTTGCAGCTGTTCTGCCAGCTTTTACCAAGGAAAAATAGCCAGCGGAGCCCTGAGCCCTGTCTGTGGCAGTTGGCTTCCCTGGGGTGTGGTCACATGATCGCATTCCTGGTACTCTGCTCTCCCTACCCTCTGCTCCCTGATTTCTGCTCCCCCCACCTCCTGCCCTCTGTTCCCATCCCACCCTCCCACAGGCTGAACCCAGAAATGCCCCAGGGCCAGCTTTCTCTCCCTCCTCACCATTCACCCGTCCTCCTCTGGGGGGAGGTAGGGTTCTCAGGGCCCGACACTGAGACGCAGTGTCAAGTGAACAGCACAGATTAAACATGCACCACGTGTTTGCCTGTTGCTTTGTGAACAGACGTTAAAGGGCTTAGCCTGGCATCTCCAGAAAGCACCGCTTTCCTGCTGGGATGGAATGGATGCCAGGCCTGGGGCCCCATCTGTTGGCTGTGAGGTGGGCTAGGCTCCTCCAGGTGGGATGCAACCTGGTACATCTGAGACCCTGATGCCTGCCACTGGGGGAGGAGTGTGGTGAGCCCAAGCTACTCCCTAACCCCTGCCCCTGGCCTTGCTATCACGGTTGTCTGGAGTGAGGCTTCAGGTTAGTGCTGGGAGAACCAGAAGGATACGGCGTTGGGGGACACGGGATGCTGCTGCTCAGTGAGCACTATGAGCAACAGTCCTGCAGGCTAAGGAAAGGTGAAGACATGGGTGCCCAGGGCATGGCCAGCAGCGAGCCCCAGTCCTAACTGCCTGCTGGGGGTAGCAGCAGGAAATAGACCATTCCTGGGTTCAGTGAGGGCCTGTAGCTGTGCTGGGGGAGTGGACTGCAGTGAGAACCCCGCCCACATCAAGCCCCTGCCAAGGAGCTTTCTGTGCTTGGAGCCCCTGCCCTTTAGTCTAGCTTTGGGGAGGAGTGGGGGATCATAGGAGGGACTTGCATGGTAATCCGGGGATCTGGGCCTTGGTGTGGAGTTGTGGATTAATCTGCCCTGGCAGATTCATTCCCAGGTGCTCCACACCCGTCGCCAGTAACTCAGGAACAGCAGAGTTCCTGAAAGTGAGCCACTGAAAGTGGTTGTGTCCTGACAGATGGGTCCCCTTTCAACTGGAAATGAGCATGTCCTGACACATCCTGCTTAGAGGTTGCTGCTTGCCTGGTCCTAGCTTGCCTTGGATGGGGTCTCCCAGGTGAGAAGCCTCATGGTGGCTCTGGGGAACTAGACTGGGTGGGGAGTAAGGGAGTGGGGAGGGAGGAAGTTAGTATGGAAGTTGACCTAGGGGTCGGTGTGAAGCATGAGTCCTGTGCACGGGCTGCTCTTGGCAGGGATTCTCTTGAAGTGTTCAGTGCTCCCCTGCAAGGGATGAATGCTTGCTCCCCTCCATAGTGAGCCATATCACACTTTCATAAATGGGGTCTGAGGTCTGTAGCCAGACCATGGCCATCATTTCCAGCACTTGAACCTGAGGGAGATCACAGCTGCTGAGGCCTGCAGCCCTCCTGTGATCACACCAGGCCTGGAAGCCCAGTGAGGGAGCAACCTGAGGGGCCACGGGGAGGGACATGGGCCCCAGGACCCTCACAGACTGCACAACTCCTCCCCCAAAGCGTCCAAAGAATATAAGGGCTAGCACGCTAGGTCATCTCTACACTGCTCCGAACACCCGGTCTGAGGTGACCGGGCAGCCACTGCACTGTGCTGGTTAGAGAAGAATGGGAAGGTTATGTATTCAGTACATGGTTAGAGAAGAATGGGAAAGTTATGTATTCAGTACAGAGAGGATTTTTTTTTCTTTTTTGCTCCCTGAATGCTTTTGATTGAGATTGGTTAAAGTCAGAACCCACAGAGTCGGAAAGCCAACTAGATGATCATAAACAGCATTTCATCAGCCAATCAGTACCTTGGGAGCCCCCCCACCCCCACCCCGCACCTCCCCCTGTCAAGAGCCACAGTGAATCCCAGCGTAGCAGGGGCTGGGAGGCAGTGCTTAGACTTCTAAGTCAGCTGCTGTGTTAGTGGAAAATTCAAAAAGCCAACAGTAATATAACCAGTCTGTAACGCCCTCTCCCAGCCTGGTTGTAGGCCATGAAAGGTCAGCTGGGCCATGGCTGTAGCTCACCGGCCCACAGCCTTCTAGAGGGGAAAGACGTTGAGCTGAGTATCAGCCAGGGCATTGACATATACCAGACAGCAGCTGAATGTGGTGGTTTTCTTTTTTTTACTTGTAAAATGAACAAGACTCAGCCCTATCTTCATATGGCTCAGAGTTGTGTTGAAAAAGAGTGAACTAGCCAGGCACTGGTAGCTTGTGCCTTTAATCCTTGCTACTCAAGAGGAGATCTGAAGATCACAGTTTGAAGCCAGTCTAGGTAGGCAAGTCTGTGAGAGTCTTATCTCCAGTCAACCACCAGACAATGAAGTGGCGTGTGGCTGGAAGTGGTGGAGTGCTAACATTGAGCAAAAAGCTCAGGGACAGCACCCAGACCTGAAGTTCAAAGCCCCATGACCAAAAAAAAAAGTGAGAGTGAACCCAGTTGGACAGGAATAGGGTCACCTCAGACTTGCTGCTTACCACCTTGGTAGCAGCAAACCCACACCTGTGTTATTTTTTTGTTTTGTTTTTGTTTTTTGCTTTTTGTTTTGTCAGTCGTGGGACCTGAACTCTGGGCCTGGGTGCTGTCCCTTAGTTCTTCAGCTTAAGGCTAGCACTCTACCACTTGAGCCAGTACCACTTCTGGCTTTTTCTGCTTATGTGGTGTTGAGGAATTCAACCCATGGCCTCATGCATGCAAGGCAAGCGCTCTACCACTGAGCCACCTTCCCAGCCCACCTGTTTGGGTTTTTTTTGTTTTTTTAAGAGAATAGACGCTGCTTCTCACCATCACAGAGTCTGGGACGTCCAAGCACATGTCCCCAGCGCTGGTGAGGCCTTTACTATGTGGAGGAGGGGTCACATGATGAGGAAGTTGGCCACACTTATTAGTGCAGCCACTAATCCACTCCATAAAGACCTTCATCCCCTTGTGACCTTGTCACCTCTTAAACATGCCACCTCTGCGGCCTGTGACAATGGCAACTGAATGTCAGCATGGGTTTGAGAAGGGGACACAAATCACAGCAGGCCTGAGGTAGGTCTAGTGAGAGCATATTGTCTCACAGAAAGAAATCTCAGGACTGTGTGATTGCAGGGGTGCTGGGCAGAGGGGACAAGCCCCTTAGAGGCTGCAGTGAACTGTTTAACTCACCAGCCTGTCCCCTCCCCTCCTCTACTGAAAGCCCCTCTGCAGTGCCCTGCCCCAGACAGGATCGAGGCCTGGCTCTGGGGCCTGCAAGTCTCTGTGGTTAAGTCTGTACTGTGATGACAGAAATGCCTCGCCGTTGAGTTTCCTTGGATGCACCACACTGTTCCCTGAATTGCTTGTGCTGTTCCTGGTGCTGGAGTCCTGGGAGAGTCGTGTCCATGTCAGAAGCTTCCGGCCTCTCCCTCTGGGGCCAGGCCTGAGGCTCCCTCCTTTAAACATTCCAAAATCCCTTCTCTGTCTACCCCAGCTCTTGGCTATATCACCCAGGCCGACGCAGGGATTAGTGTGTTAGGTTGTCTGTAGGAAGTACCAGGGTAGGTGCTGAATACTTACACTGATCTGTGATTGCTCGTGTCTGACTCTTGTGGGTGTGTGCGTGTTTTGTATTCGTACTTTAAATAAAAGGAAACTGAGGCCCAGAGAGATTGGGTGTTTCACAAGACACAGGAGAAAGGTAAGATTTTGAAAGCCAAGCAGCCTGATGCCAGAGCCAAAATTCTTAACCACTGAATGAATAAGCCAGAAAAGAAAACAGTCCTGGAAGGCTGAAGGAGCTGGCTTTTGGACTACAGACCAGAGCTGTGACTTCATCATAACTAAGGAGTGAGGGGAGGGCCACTATGAGGGGTACTAAGAGGGACAAATTATGTAGGAATGACATCATGTCCAGTGGCCTATTGAGGGGTATTGAGGACTGTACACAGGAAAGTCAGAACAATGTCACTGAACGATGAAAAATGGTCTGATTGGACCCCAAAAGCTGGCTTTCTCTCTGGTCTCATCTTTGTTGCTGTGTGATCTTGATCCAGTGACTGGACCTCTCTGGGTTCTAGTTCTGTGGATGAAAAAGAACAAATTAGATTATAGGCTCTCCAAGCCTCCATTGGGCTCAGACATTTTGCATAGCCTCAAGAGGAAGAGTGGAGGAGGGACCAAGAGACCCTCTTGTGGGGCTTTGGGGGCAAGAGAGAGAGAGACAGACAGACAGAGGCAGGGGAGAGCACCAGCCATGACTATCTGAGCTATCTGTGTACCAGTCCCAGAAAGCCTGGGAGCTCAGCACATTTCCTCTCTAATTAGATAGCGTTAACTTATCAATTTTGAATGAGACAAGTTCCCGTGCACGAAGTCCTGAATTGCTCCCTGACGTGCTTGTTAGTCATTTCCCTGCAGCTGCCTTCCTACTCTCCTCCAGACACCTGCAGAGGGGCTGGCATTTCCTTTCCTGACCGAGGCAGGTCAGGCTGAGCTGGCGACACAGGCACACACCACTCAGGGGTCGGTGTGGACGGCCTCCATACCACATTCCTCTGCTGTTGGACCATGACTACAGAAGGCACCTGCTCAACTACAGTGCTTCTGTAGGTCTGGGGAGTTATCTTCGTATTTGGGTCTACATTGCGGTCACTGCAGGCCCTCTGATCTTTCAGGGCCTCTCCTTGGTAAGCACTCACAAGGCGGTACTTTAAGAACACTTGAAATAGATTGAGTCCTGTCTTCCTTTCTGCCTACCCTCCCCAGTTCCAGGATTTAAGATGGGGGGTGGGGGGGGTGGGGGTGGGAGGGGGGGGCTGTTTTTTCCATGGTGCCATATCTTCTACCACCACCAGATGGTGCTGTGTCCCCATAGTTCAAGCCGCCAAAGACCTTGTCAGAGAAAGTAAGGTGTTTGACCAGAGGCTGAGAGGACAATGAGGGAGTACTGGGGTGGAAGGGGGCAAGGTGCTAGGCTGATGATCTCAGGTCTACCTTGGCACAGCCTGGGAAAGGACAAGGCAGAAATCCTCTTTCACCAAGGGGGTTAGACACGAATGTGGTTTTTGTTTGTTTTTTGTCGGTCATGGGGCCTGAACGCTGTCCCTCAGCTCTTCAGCTCAAGGCTAGCACTCTACCACTTGAGCCACAGCGCCACTTCCAGCCTTTTCTGCTTATGTGGTGCTGAGGAATTGAACCCAGGGCCTCATGCATGTGAGGCAAGCGCTCTACCACTGAGCCACCTTCCCAGCCCCTGCAAATATGTTTTTGAGAATT